GGGTAACTTTGACCAATCACAGGTCACTTTTGAAATACAATAAACTCAATAAAACTTGTGTCAACATCGGCAAAGCATGTTATAGATTGAGAGAAAATGTTAGTTATAGTTTTTACTTCTGTTAATTGTTAACCAAAGGCTCCAGGCTGAGGCTATGTGGCTAGCTTGAGCCTCAAATTACAACATGTCATCGTAAAAGGCTTCACAGACCCATTTGTTTGCAATGAAACAAATAACTAGTACTTTCACATTTGACAGTGCTTGTCTGATGGGAGGGGCTGTATTTTGTGTGTGTTTGTTTTGCATTTTCCCCAAAACTTCCAACCCCAGCTTTAAGCAGTTGTAGCCCTATTTTTCTATCTGTTGCAGGCAAAAGGCCGCTGTCTTCCATGTGTCCTACTATCATCTTCGACAAAGAAAACAAAGTCAAAATGGTTGTAGGAGCGTCTGGTGGTACAAAAATCACCACAGCCACTGCATTAGTAAGTCTGATTAATTCACACGCCATCCAGCAGACACACAGTCAGTTAATTGACATTTTAAAATGTTTTCTGACTGAAACAGGTCATCCTGAATTCCTTGTTCTTCAACTATGACCTAAAGAAAGCTGTGAACGAACCGCGCGTTCACAATCAGCTCAACCCAAATATGACAGTCGTGGAGCAGGGCTTTGAAAAGGTGGGTTTTGTGTGGAGACATTTAATGCAAAATAACATCTGGAAAACTGCTAAAAGGGCCAGGACACCCTCAGTTGAAATGTGCAGTATTTTATTTAGCATACCACTGTTTTTTTTTTTGGAGTGATTTATTAACGTACAGGTAAACTTGAAACCTACATAAAACATGACTAGGTAGTGATTTGGCTTTAGTTTCTGAAATTGTATTCAAACATCGCAATGCAAAAACAATCCGTTCACCCATCAGTATTTGCTAACAATTGCTAATAAGCACTAGAAAACAAAGCAGGGGAAGTTAGGAATGTATTGCTTCTGCAGGTATTTGACCTATTGATGGTGCTGGATGAATTCAATATATCCTCTGGTAACCATGAATGTCTGCAAATTCTAAGCCATGTTGCTAACATCCTTCTGGGGGTAAGACGTTTGTCAGTTGTAGTTTGATAAAAACAAAATAATAAAACAAGGACTGTGGGTAATCTCAGGTAGCCAGGTCGAGATTTCTTGAAAGAGACCATAAGGCCAATATCTTAAACACTCTGCAACTCACACCAAAACAATCTGGATTGATAAATAGCATAACAAGAAAGAGGAAAAATTGGTATCTTTGATTTCGGCATGAGCCATCTCTTTAACCCTCTGCACTGTACTCTTTATGTTTGTGTGATGATGATACCATGGCAGAGTGTTCTGGAAGGTCTGGTCCAGAAGAACCACATCACGCAGCTGCTGCCGACTCCAGACTCTGTGGTCCAGGCGGTGGTGCGGCAGGGGGAGCGTCTCTGTGCGGAGTCCGACCCCAGGAAAGGAGGCTATCCAGCGGGATACTGAGCGTGACTTCAGGACCTTCTGTGCTCCTCAAAGACACTCGGACAGAACTTCAACACAAACAGGTGCCTGCACTGGAGACTCAAGCAGTATTTAAGCCATGGAGACACAGCCACCACTTACTCAAACATGGAAAATGACTCGAATTCAAAACCTTTTTTACTCGAACTCAGTAATTCAGCATTTATATTCTTCCTTTTTGGCATCATTTTTTGAGTTTTTAAGTAAAATAAGTGGTAGTTTGACTCTTGGATCACCACTACTGGGAACTGGTGATTTTTTATTCTGCTTTATAAAGTGAACTTTTTTTAAGTATGTCACAGTATTGGACATATTGAAAAAACAACCGAATAAGTATGAATAATTACACAAATAAAATAAATGTTTTTTAGGTAAGAATCTGAGTGGATGTAGGTTGTCAATGTAGTACCTTCATTTTATTGTCTTAGGAAAAAAGCTGTTGTCAATAATTGGGCAATTTGTCTGAGAAAGAGGGGAGTTTGTTATCAACCATCAATTACAAGCTAGAGCTTTACTAAATAAATAAAAACACCTCAGGTTGTTTGCCTGTTTTATCAAAATGTCTACCTAAACTTTTCTTCTGGTGTAAGTTGATCCTGAAAACAAAGAGTATTTAGAAGAAACTGAACGTGTTGTTTTCTACCGTGACTCTCTAATGAAACTATTACTTTTTGAATTGTAAAGGTTTAATATCGAGTAGAGGTTAAAGGTGGGGTAGGTAAGTTTGAGAAACCGGCTCGAGATACACTTTTTGTTATATTCCATGGAATGCTCTTAACATCCCGATAGCAATGAATATCTTAAGTGCTTTGACAAAAAATCCATAAAAAAATTTCATCTGTGGAAGCCGTAGTACTGTAAAAAGCACGACCAATCATTTTAGCCGGCCCGGCTAAAATAACTGGATGGCCTACCTGCCTGTCAGCCTTCCATCTGTGCACAAACTTATCTCGTGCCCTCATTGGTCATGTGCGCGTTCGTGTGTGTTGGAGGAGGGGCTCTGTAAGGAAGTGGCAGATTTTTTCCGGTTGTGTATTTTCAAATTCTAGCGCACTCGAGCTGGTTTCTCCAAAATTACCTAGCCCACCTTTAAGTGAACGTATAGTATATTCTGAAAAATACATTTGCAGATATATTTTTCTAAACATGCATTGTTCTTATGCCATGTTTGTTGCCATGCTTGTTATTAAACATTTTGAACAAAGATGTTTTATTTTACCACACGGACCCTCACTGCTACATTTTCTTTTAGTCAGATTTTGTTCTTCTGTGTTTTTAATGAATCTCATACGAGGATGATTAGAGACACATGTGAAAAATGTATTTGAAGTATAAGTTTAGTGGCAATCCAGAATATTTCTGCTTAGATAAATGTCAATTGAGTCACTCTCTATCCTCAAAGGAGGTAACACATAGGTTTGAGCCTGTGAGGCACTGATGAAAGTATTACAATTTCTATATATTTGCACTTTTAAAACAGGGTGCTTGTGATTTCAATGCGGTTAACCAAACATGTTCTATTATATATATTTACAGCAAGACTGGTAAATCATTGTTTTCACTCAAATACAAATTCTAAAGAAACCAGGACTGAAATCTTAAGGGTTGGCATAGTCAATTTCTTGCCTAATCCTTTCCCTTAACTTAAAGGTCCCATGTCATGGCCATTTCTACTGATCATAATTCCATTGTTGAGGTCTACTAAAATACATTTATATTGTGCAATTTTCCAAAATCACATTGGTTTCTCATACAGCATCTCTGTATAGTATGTGTATTCACTCTCTGTCCTAAACGGCTTGTTGGAGCTCCTGCCCCCCCTCCCTGTGAGACCAGTGGCCGTCTGCGAGACAGCGAGACACAGCGAAACCTAGCCCGAAACACACACACACACCCGCAGCCTGGCTGGGAGTTTGTGTGTCCCGCTCCTCGCAGCAGCGAGCCTCGCAACGTCCCGCTGAGTGTGTGTGTGTGAGAGGAAGTCCGCGGATTGGTCCAAACATAATGGCTCCGCGGACGTTACGTTACGTCACTATACCCAAGAAGTAAACAATGGAAAAAGAGAAATCCCCAACGAGGCGTTCTGGGGCAGCATAGACAGGTCTTTTCTGTGTTAGAGTTTTACTCGCTACAGGGTGTACTTTGAGGGTTTTTGACTCTGCAGACCGTTTACATGCATAAAAAGCTACATAACACACAAGGGGACGGGTAATAACCAGAAAAGCATGACATGGGACCTTTAAATACATTTAGTCCAGGGCACAAACAGTAAAAACATAAAAGCAGCAGGCTTAATAAATGTTTCGCTTGGGGAATTAAGATTCACTGGTTATACGATTTGCTGTCAATTAACTTTGTCTATTGACTAACTTAATTAACTCACCGTTTCAGCACTTGAACATACATTGAATTAATTGTTTTCCTCATTGGACTGTAAACAAAACTTGTACAGCACTCATGACCCCCGAAGAGACTGACCCTGTTTTACTTTCACTGTCTGGTGAGTTTCAATCAGCACTCGGTAAATATCTCCACTCATGTGTGCTCGTTGAGAAAATGAAAAACCAACAACATGCGGCCAATGGGAACAAAGCTCACTCACGAGTCAGATTTGTATAATTCATAAGTTTTTCTAAGCTCAAAAATATTTTAAGCTGCTTTAAAAAAATAGAAATCTGATTGTTTTTTAAAGGAAACGCAATATCTCTAAGATAGTAGATATTTTCTTTCTCATGTAAATTCCTCTGCTGCAATGAAAAGCACTCAAATAAAACACAAATAGCAAGCTTTCTGCTATAAATGGTTTTGTGCAAATTGATGAATAAGAATAGGTGGTTTGAATCCCACTTCAGCAAACTATACAACGAACATAAACACTCTTAATGCAATACACTCCGCATTTTGTTAACACACACATTCCTTTGGTAGTGTGTTATAACGAACATTAGTTAATCCTAAACTTTGATCTGGCCCACGTACTGTACACAGTTATTTGTAATCTAGACAATCATTTAAAAACAGGCCCCATTTGGCCCCGGGGACTGAAGCCAGAATACAACAAGCAACAGTGAAAAGATTTGACTGGTGAGAGTGTGGAGTATCACATGACGAGTGATATTTACATAGAAAGCAGGCCTGCTTTCATTGTGCACCGCTGTTATCTATCCGTTTGTCCAGTGAATGACACGAGACCAAACATGGCAGTTTCAGGGAGCATGCACAGATGATAAAAGAGACAGAAGAGACATTTCCTGTCGAGGGCTCTACTTTCCTTAAAGATGCTTGAGCAGCAACTATTTCCACTTGTACAGAAACCTATATCATACACTACAAGAAAGGGAAAGCCCCAAAAAGCAGAATAGGGCTCCTTTAAAAAAAAAAAAAAACTGTTACTACACTCTCACAGAGAGATGTTCTCAGATACATTACCCATCACAATTATTCCTACTTGAGCCAGATGAACTGAGAACCAAATAAGACAAAACAAGTCGTTTATTTTCCTAAAAGAAGAGCAGCCAGTAAGCCCGTCAGGCCACCTAAATGTAATGTCATCATACAAAAAGTCTTTATCTCAAATTGTGACAGACGTGAGTGGAATACGGATAGTATCTGGTGTTATGTCATCGAAGGGCTATTGCATTATAAATGTGGTCACGATTTTCTCCTTCGGATTCCAGCTTCATCTGTATTCTTCAGCCGGAATATGAATTATCCTGGCCACAGAAACACATTCATCTTGTGGCTAACTGTGATATTACCTTCATTCATCATGAAGCGGCGGGTAAATCAGCACAGCCGTGACAGCACCCGATACACTTTCAACCTTTTGTGGGGAGGCATGTTATGTCTGTCTGACAATCCTGGAGTGTTGCTGGGGTTGAAGTGTTATTAAACACGCTATGTTAAATGTTTATCATCAGGCCACCATTCAAATCTGTACCCGGACAAGAGTGCAGAGACGAGGGATCTATTTTTGGACTACCGGTAACTCAGCCTTGTATATGACTACTGACATTGTCTTCTCTAATTATTACCCAGGCATTGCGTGCAAAGAGTTCCACAATTGCCTAAATATTTGCAAATGAAATGTTTTAGTGCTGACAGAGGAGGACAGATCTTTGTCACCATCTAGAGGTGCGCAGCAGGTACTCAACTCAGGAGCGAGAGGAGGTGCTGTGTCCTTTTCAGCCAGAATGACTCCTGTTGGTTGTTGGACAGGATGAAGTTACAGTCGCATGGAGACTGGAGGCGCTGGGGATTGCAGCTCCTGGTCCAGCAGCCGGAAGAGCATCGCACTTTTGTGGCAGTGCGAGGTTTGTCCCAGGGAGCGGTGGAGCAGGGCCTGCAGGTAGTGGACGTCCCGCAGCCGCTCCTTACAGTTCAGCTTGGAGAAATAGCCTGCTGCCTCATTTAGCGTGTCAACGGCCAAACCCGCCAAGTGAAAATCTGCAAAGAGACAACAAGAAGAGTTTATAAAGAAGGTGCACAGCTACACAGACCTGTGATATAGATGAGTCATAAAATAGAATAATAATAATAATTAAAGCTGCAAGCAGCGTTGAGCGGGTCTTCGACGCTCCGCAGGCTGTTGTCCGTACGTCGACGTCAGGCAGATGTCTCGAGGACTCGGTCGTTGGCAAACGTGGGAAGTTTTAGGCCGATCGGACAATGTATTTAGGAGTTACAGCAGTATCATAAACATTGTGTTTGATGGAAAGTGATCAGTCGCCATGGCAACGGAATTTGATGACACCCCATAATACGCCTAGATGTGTTGAGGGCTGCATTGTTATCAAACCTGTGACGTTTTGGGCCGTTTGGAGCATGTTAACTGGAGTTATGAGAAAACAGTGTTTCATGGCGACCATGTTGTTACCATAGCAACGACATTTGATGAAATCTCAAAACTGACACATATATGTGTGTCGAGGGCTTGACGGTTAGCACACATGGGAAATTTGAACACTTTTTACCATTTACACAGGAGTTATAGCAATATCGTGCTTAACGGCGAGGGATGCGTTGCCATGGCAACAGCTTTTGAGGAAAACTCACTATTGTCATATTGATGTGTTGAGGGCCGGACCATTAACTGTCATCTGAAGTCTGGTGCAGTTTGGACCATTTTCCATCGAGTTATGACAACACTGTGTTTCATGGCGAGGGATCTGTCACCATGGCAACGGCATATGATGACATCCCATAATTGGCGTAGAGCTGTTCAGGGCTAGGGTTAAGGACAAAGGAGCCTCATTCACTTTACATTGGGGTTGTTTGCGTGGTGCAGACACGTAAATGTAGCAAAGTTCGTGACTCCACCACGCACTGCGGTGTTAAGGAGTCGTGGTGGAGTCACGCATTCTGGTGAGACCAGGTTGGTCTTACCACATGGCCTTCCCTTGCATAATCTCAAATATTTTGTATTTGTATTTAAGCTACCAACGTGTAACAGAACCATGTCATGTTTGTTGTTCTCTGACACAAAACATCATGTTGAATCAGTCAAAAACAAGATCATTGCCATTGGCATGATGGCTTCTGGTTTGGAACACAAAGTTCTGTAAGTAAGTTTCACTTCTTTCGGCTGCTAAACCTTAACTTGTTTTTCACTTATCATCTTGTGTAATCTTTATCTTGTGTTATTTCAAGCTTTTAATTCAGATTGACATGTATGGTATGGGTGTTAGTGTCCCAACAATTCTGTATCTTGTGTAAGTGTATCTGATTATTGCAACACAGCAGCTGCAAGAGAACTATCGATTTTTAGCCGTGTGATTCCATGGATTGTTTATTTTGTTATAACAAAGGTCAAGTGTTTCTCAGCAGAAAGTTAACCATCCAGTTCAGCAGTTGATATGGGAGCACCAAAAACTGAAGTTCAGGAAAGAGCCAACGCAAAATACTTCTCCGCTCATGTCTTCTGCTTTAATTCCCCACAGCTTCCAATAAATAGTTTAAAAAGTTGTTTAGAATGAGTATGATGCTTTAAACCAAAGTGTTAATGACTGAAAACCCTGGTTAACATTCAGTCATGTGATTTTTTTTAAAAAACAAACAGTTATCAGAATCAGAATCAGAATATAATTATCATACCAGTATATGCACTTGGCTACCAAAACATGAATAGAGTGTGGTTAAAGTATGTGTGTGATGTCATGTCAATAACAACAGAGTGAAAAGGGTCAGGGTTGGGACAAATGTAATTTCCACTTGTGGATTTATAAAGTATTTCTTAAAGGAGAGGTGTCATGGCCATTTCCACTGATCATAATTCCATTGTTGAGGTATACTAAAATAGATTTATACTGTGCATTTTTCCAAACTCACATTGGTTTCTCATACAGCATCTCTGTAAACTACTTGTATTCACTGAATTTCACTATCTGCCTTTAACGGCTCGTTGTAGCTCCAAAAGCTCCAGCCCCCACCCTCCCTGTGAGCACAGTGTGCTCTGATTGGTCGGGACGTTGTGAATCGCGCTGAGCTCCGTGGAGGTGTTGCTTCCTTGTTTAGGATACATAGCGAAACACAGCCAAACTCATCCTGAGCACAAACAAACTCACATCCGAAGTAAAAACAATAAGTGTGGCTTGATATTGAGTAAGAAAAAGGTTGATAAACGCTGTGAGAATGGGTCTGCAGAGAGAATTTTGACGCGATCCCAACTGTCTGTTATCAGCCTGCAGCCAGGGAGGAGAAATCAGCTGAGCTGCCTGCTTCCTGCACACAGATGTGTGTGTGAGGAAGTCCGTGGATCGGTCAATTTGGACCAATCAGCGGGGGCTTAACGTAACGGCTCCGCGGACGTAACGTAACGGCTCTTCGGGATTGGTCCATTTCGTTCCGGGTACCGCTTGACATCATGCCGTACCCGGAACGAAATGGAAGACTCAAATGGCCAGTGACGTATCTCCAACGAGGCGTTTTGGGGAGGTATTTTCTGTGTTAGAGTTTTACTCGCTACAGGGTGTACTTTGAGGGTTTTGACTCTGCACACCGTTTACATGCATAAAAACCTTCATAACACACAAGGGGACGGGTAATAACCGGAAAAGCATGACATGGGAGCTTTAAATCTTTAGTCTTAATCCTAAACAATTGAAAACTCTTTGCTAAGGAAAGGTAGGGAAAGCTTGTGTTCAAATATTCAAAAAGGTCAAGGAGAAAAATGAGCCATCACAATACTGCAGATAGCTACATGTCCAAAGAAAGTTGCCATTGAACAAAAAGTAAATAAATAATTAAATTAAGATGGTTTGTGTAGTTATAGTACTCAGATCCTTGACTTACTGTGATTAAAAGTATCAAACATCAATGCAAAGATACTTTTTTTAATGAGTAATATGAGCAATTATTTCCTGTGTTCAAAATCCTACTTAAGTAAAAGTACAGGAGTCTTCATAAAGTATCATATGCTGTCTTGTACCTTGGTGTTACTACAGAATATGTGTTGTGTTTCTACTTGAATCTCTTTTTATATCCAAATCTTCTATGTACATAAATGTTTTTTTCTGTCTTTGTGTAGAAGTTTGGTCCAAAACCTGTTTGTTTTTGTGTGCTGTATGCAAACATAAAAAGGGGAAACTAACATCACCCTTTTCAAAGTTAGATCTAAACATCAGAGCTAGAGATGCTATGAGATACAAGACCACAGAGATGTGATTAGCTATGATATTGTGATACAATCATGGCGTATCTGCCCCTGAGGTGTGAAAGCATTTAAAGACAATGGTGACCTGATACAGTATCTACTACAGCTGTCGAATGTGTTTGAATGGACTTCTAAGAACTCAGTTTGATTATTTTTCATTATTAACTTCTAGATGATGACCACAGTGTTATCCAATCTTGTTTATAGTGCTTTATTGAACAGGGAATGGGGGCCAAGATTGTATAAAGAGACTTTAAGCCCCCTCACTGTCCCTGTTGATCCAAAGTGGCGGGACTGCAGGGCCCATTATCTAACAAACATGATAAGCTCCACTGTGCAAGTCACCACAGTAGCTGATTGGTTGGGATATTTCATTTCATTTTTATTTGTCCCGCTCATGGTACGCATAGCCAAATGTACAATAATTGCCAACAAAACATGTCTCTACACACCATTGAACGAAAAGGAGCAGGGAGAAGAATACAATCTTATATGACCTGCCCCTTTCTAAAAAAAACAAAAAAAATAAATACAAATAGATGGTCTGCCCTTCATAATAAAAAAAAATGTTCACAGCCACACATAAGAGTACACCCTCATCTGAGTCCTACTGGAGAAGAAGGTGGAAAGCGGCGCCTAATAATAATAATAATAATTAAAGCTGCAAGCAGCGTTGAGCGGGTCTTCGACGCTCCGCAGGCTGTTGTCCGTACGTCGACGTCAGGCAGATGTCTCGAGGACTCGGCCGTTGGCAAACGTGGGAAGTTTTAGGCCGATCGGACAATGTATTTAGGAGTTACAGCAGTATCATAAACATTGTGTTTGATGGAAAGTGATCAGTCGCCATGGCAACGGAATTTGATGACACCCCATAATACGCCTAGATGTGTTGAGGGCTGCATCGTTATCAAACCTGTGACGTTTTGGGCCGTTTGGAGCATGTTAACTGGAGTTATGAGAAAACCGTGTTTCACGGCGACCATGTTGTTACCATAGCAACGACATTTGATGAAATCTCAAAACTGACACATATATGTGTGTCGAGGGCTTGACGGTTAGCACACATGGGAAATTTGAACACTTTTTACCATTTACACAGGAGTTATAGCAATATCGTGCTTAACGGCGAGGGATGCGTTGCCATGGCAACAGCTTTTGAGGAAAGCTCACTATTGTCATATTGATGTGTTGAGGGCCGGACCATTAACTGTCATCTGAAGTCTGGTGCAGTTTGGACCATTTTCCATCGAGTTATGACAACACTGTGTTTCATGGCGAGGGATCTGTCACCATGGCAACGGCATATGATGACATCCCATAATTGGCGTAGAGCTGTTCAGGGCTAGGGTTAAGGACAAAGGAACCTCATTCACTTTACATTGGGGTTGTTTGCGTGGTGCAGACACGTAAATGTAGCAAAGTTCGTGACTCCACCACGCACTGCGGTGTTAAGGAGTCGTGGTGGAGTCACGCATTCTGGTGAGACCAGGTTGGTCTTGCCACATGGCCTTCCCTTGCATAATCTCAAATATTTTGTATTTGTATTTAAGCTACCAACGTGTAACAGAACCATGTCATGTTTGTTGTTCTCTGACACAAAACATCATGTTGAATCAGTCAAAAACAAGATCATTGCCATTGGCATGATGGCTTCTGGTTTGGAACACAAAGTTCTGTAAGTAAGTTTCACTTCTTTCGGTTGCTAAACCTTAACTTGTTTTTCACTTATCATCTTGTGTAATCTTTATCTTGTGTTATTTCAAGCTTTTAATTCAGATTGACATGTATGGTATGG